TATGTTAGAAGTTGGGTATTTCTTAGTTATTGAAATTTTTATCTCACTCCCCATTGTTAAACTATTTATAGGTGATGTGTCGGGTCATGGCAAAAGGAAAGAAACCATAGACATACAATTAGAGTAATTAATTGTAATGCCTTTATTTATCTCACGTAGAGGATTTTGGTTGTATAACTTTATAAATGTTGCTAATTAGGGGCTCCTTATGTGTAATATCCTATATTTTAAATCCTATATTAAATTAATTTAACAAAAGTAATTAGGTAAAATTTAGTATAAATGGGTTTATTGATGATTAGTTATGTCTAATGGGTTGTCTTGATATGGATATAACCTTTGAATCAAGCTCAAAGGAGATTTAGGTCACCTGGGCCCAAATTTGAGGGGCAATTTAGACTAGCCTATTTAGTGCGATGGATGGTCAAAATTTTTAAGTGATCAGTTTGCAATTCGTGAACTATAAGAGAAAGAAAAAGAGAGAGAAAAAGGAGAAGGGCAATGAGAGATCAAGTTTTGCTATATTAGGACACACTTTTAGGGTTAATCTAGAGGAATTCAAGCTTCCACACTCAAAGTAATCATCTTCCTTCATCTCCCTCTCTTCTTCCATGCGTTTTAGCTTGGGTTTCTTTATGGGAATGTTGATTTCGAACCTTAGGTTATGGATCTAAACCCATTGGTCCTAATTGGACTAATGGGAGATATTTAACCTATCTAAATTTAGTTTTAAAGATTTTACAAGGTTATGAGTTTGGGTCTAGAGTTTTGCTAAGTAAGTATATTTTCTGTCCAACTGGGGGGAAGGCCAATTGTCGAGCTCCTGTCTATAGCCAAATCTTTGGCTAGAAGGAAGCCTTTCACCCTAGGAACAATGCTTTTAGGAACCGTCTACCACATGATGAAAAATGAGCTAAAAAACATATAAGGACTTCGAGAAGCTCCCTAATGGCCTCCAGTTTTTCCAATTGTGGGGTTTAACCTAATTTCTGGAGCTACTTCCAACACCACAGACTTATTTGTATTGCTGTGTGGGGCACATCCATTGTGAAAACTCCAGGGACCCTTTATCAATCATTTTAGCTGCTCAAGATCCCTCTCAACTCTGTTAGACATTTCTTTTTCCTATCGACAATCATGTTTGAGCAGGAACCAAGACTTCAACAAATTGCAAGCTAATATCTTTGTGCCTTACACTAACTCCCTCCTCCCCAACTTAAATATAATTCTCAATTTGTCCCCCTCCCATGCATGTACCTATTGAAGAAGAGACATGCAAACAAATCTTATATATCGGAACCACATCCCATGAATGGAATACTAATTAATAATTATGAACTAATTTGTTTAAAATTAAAAAATAAGTTTTTTTAGATAATTTAGAGATTTCATGCAAACAAATTTATGTTTAAGAATACTAATTATGAGCCCATTTATTCAAGATTAAAAATAAGTGATTTTTAGATAATTTAGATATTTTATTTAAAAAAAATTTTAATTTTGTAGAGATTTTATAAGAAGATAGCAAACATTATTTTATGTTTGTTTATAATAATAAAAAATAATTATCAGTTATTTATTGATTTTATAGTATTTGATTAATTTTTGTTTTATAAAATAATTTATTACTTAATTCTCTTAAAATTTCATGAAATCTTTGTGTATTGTTGTATTCTTATGACATTCTTTCTTATCTACCGCTTCATATTATTTCTAGAAGTTACACAAAATAGCTTCTCAAAATAATTAAAAATCTAATTTTTAAAAGTTTAAACGAACATTGTAAAATTTTATAAAATAAATTTTTTTAACAAGTAAGTGATTTTTTTATGGAAAAAATTAAGCTGAAACAAATTAAATGGGCCCTATATCAATATTAATATTGCACGTTCAAATTGAGTTTACTTAAAATAAATAAATTGAAATTTTAATATTACATTATTCAACCTAAATTTGAACAGTTCAATGGGATTCCACTCTGCGTTCGCATTCGAGTCGCCAAAATCAATCATGACTCTCCATTTCAGCCTAAAATAATTTCTATCATTCGTACAAATTAATTTTTAAATTTTTGTAATGTTATATTTATTAATATAAGAAATTTTAATATTAAATTTGGGTTGTCTTTAGTGTTCATTAGGGAATAAGCACCATAATACTTATCACTTCTAACAAGATTTGAACCATTCAAATTTAAAATTTATTTTTATTTTATATTTTTTAAAATAAAGTTTATAAAAATATAAAAAATTTTAATAAATTTGTTCATTAACAATCTGGCCATCATAGATTTAATCTAGATAATCCAATTTAATATTAAAAAACTTTATAATTTTACAATTTAACTATCCAAATATATTCTAGACAATTCAGATATAATTTAGATAACCTGATTTAATATTAAAAATTTATAAATTTTATAAATTAATCATTTAAATATACTCTAAATATTACAAGTTTCATATTAAATTTTTTAATTAATAAATATAATATTAAAAATATTTAAAAATTAATTTAAATAAATAACAGAGGTCATTTTAGATTGAAATGAAAGGTCAGGATTGCTTCTGCCTGATAAAGTATAGATGCTAACGCACTCCACCCTCCTCCTCTTCATCCTCACAAGTTCCTGTCTCCATTGTTCACTTGGCCAACCTTTTCACGTAATTATATTAGTTACTTGCAATGAAGTGAAAGACAATACGGACAACGAAAGTCTCGAGAGGGCCATAAGTCGAACAAAGACCATTCAAAATTGCAATGTGTCAAAGGTACGATACTTTTCCTGCCATATGAAAAGAACAAAGTTGCTATACGTTTCATGGGATCAATGGAAACTACTACAATTGGCCAAGCCCCAGTGCCGTATTGGAATGGATAGATATGATTGAATATGGAGAGATATGTTAAGATAGAGTAAGGAAAAGATCCAAACCCATGCCATATTATACATGGAAATGTACACGAGATGACAGAAACAATGATACATAGCGAGCATGCGCGAGAAATAATATAACTTTTAATCTCCTATGTTTTGAGTGGATTATTAAGTCGGTTTTTTTAATTTAAATTTTATCATTTCAATCCTTAATGTTTCGTAAACTTATTTAAATAGTAGTCATTAATCCTATAAGAGAAATCAACATTGTCAAATTACACTGACATGGCTAATGGAATGATGATATGGCAGTCAAGTAGATTAATCAAACAGGAAGCAATTAATAATGCTGACTTGGATAAGGGGTAAAAAAGCAACATGTTCAGGAAAAAAGCTACTAGCTAGATTAAATTAGGAATTACTCCATCTGAATTAAAATATAAGCAACTTAAAAAAAAATCTGTATGTCAATAAAGTTCATATTTTCATAAAAATATATATTGTTTTTTTTATCCTTAATCATAATTATCAATGCACTTTATGATGGGTAAGAAATAAATTTACCTAAAGATCTAAGTTAATAAATATAAAAAGTAAAATAAATGTGCAAGATTGGTTATACTTTGAATTAAGATTAGCTAAGAAAAATGTTTATATTTTGGACTTGATTTACACGTTAGTTTTGTTTATAACTAATTAATTTAGTTTGTAAAACTTAAAAGACTAACTTTATAACTAAAACAAACGTTAGAAATTAAAATTGATGGATTAAATTGAAATTTCCTCAAATATAAAGGATCCAAAGTTGCATTATTTTAAAAAAATAAATGGCCAAAATTTAATGTCGCATTTATTGATATCTTCAGCCCGGGATAAATCCATGACCAACGCTCTGATACTGATTGCTTTCAAGATTTTGTTTATTGCATCAATATATTATAAAATTTATTTCAAAAAGTGATCCTCATGAACGGTAATCAGGGGTATTTTTGGGATTTATTGAACATGTAAAATTGAGAACACTCCTCTTCTCTCTCAAAATATGAAGCACGTTAGGGGCATTTCTGGTTTAACACACTTTATTAGCAAAAAGTGAGAAGTATCTGGTGTATATTTTAAATGAATCTTTTATCCTCTGGTTCCTTCAATTATCTCGTCTAAAGCTAGCATCCCTTATACTCTAGTAAAAATGGAGGAAAGTGACATTGGTCTGTTTACGAAGTCTCTGTACAAGCAATAATGCACTCTCATTTACCCATTCCCAAAAGAAAAAAAAAAAAAAAACTGGCGTCTCCACCGCCTCGTCACATCTGTGCCTTTAGAATCCAAAAGCCATTAAGGTCCGTTTAATTTTTTTTCGTTTTATATTCAAAAAACAAAATTTTATTTTAAAAAATTAAAAATTATTTGAGTAGAATATTTTATAAAAAAATTTGACAGTACATTCAAACAATAGCTGAAAGTAAATTTTTAAAACGTAACTATGTGAAACTTTTGAAAAGTGAATTTAAAAAGTAAGATGTTATTTGACCATACTACCCTAAATTTAATCTCTTATTCTTTTATTTAAAAATAATTAATTTATTAAAAATATAATTATTATTTTAATAATAATAATTAGGTATTAATTTTTTTAGTATTATAAATTGAGTAATTAATCATGTTAATTTTTAACATTAATGTATAATAAAAATTACAAATCTTTATTACATCTTTTAAAATTACAAATTAAAAATATAAATAATTAAAGATTAAATTTTTAGCATTATAAATCAAAATTTATGTTATTTAAAATATTTATTATATTTTTTAAATATTTTAAATATATTATATTTGTATAATAAAAATTATAAATCATTATAAATAATGTCTTTTTTAATAATTGTATATTTAGAGGTACATTTTACTAGCATAAACCAAACAATTTTTAATATATCAAACTGATTTTTAAAAAAATATATTTAAATATAAATTTTATTATAATAACTGACTTTTATTAAATTAATTTTCACACTTTCATTAAATAAATTTTTGATAAATTAAAAATTAATCGCACGTTAAGCCTCCACAAAACGCCATCGTCCCCTCTTTCCTCCCAAGCGACAGTTCTCATTTCGTTCAATCCGACGACACTCTCGAGCTCAGCCACTTTTCGTAACCAACTTCTCGACCTCTTCCCCCTTTCTCCCTAAGTCTGCAACCATCGGCCATCGAATCTCCATCATCTCCTTCTTCAACCTCGTCTGTCCTTGCTTTGTCGCTTGACAAATGGCTGCTTCCAACCTTAAGCCTTCAGCAAAAGATCTTCCTTACTGGTTTTCCCAAGTGTGTTCAATCTGTTGACCTTCTGGTGTTTGACGCTCAGGTCAGTTCCTACTTTCATCATTTTCTTTTCCAAACTAGATGACCTTCTGGTGTTTGACGCTCAGGTCTGTTCTTTTTAGAGTGTCTGCTTGATTGCCTCGACCTTTTCAATGAATGTGCGACTCTAGAGATTGCTAACAGAGTGGAAGCCTCAAGATGGGTGTGCCATCGTAGGGCTCATTCGAGACCCACACCTAATCCTAGCCGCTTAACAGCAAAATCAGCCTAGGAAATGTTGAGAGATTTCAGGCTGATGGAGACGAGAGAATTGCTAGCAGAAAGAGCTGAGAACTTCCTGATTTCCTTGAAGCAGAGGTTCTTAGGTTTAACTCAAATTACCCTAGGCACCAGCAAGATCCAATGCAAAAAGGTTCCGACATAAACTCTCGATGAAAATTGTTTTTTCTTTATTTAAAACAAGATCCATCTTTCAAATTTCAAATGACTCATCTTGAATAATTTCAGGACATGGGCAAGTCTCACTTAAAAGTTCTCTCATTGGTATTGTCTGGCTCTGTGGCCTTTGATTTGTCTTTAGTCACAAAGGGTTTCTTGTGGATTTTTTGTGATTCCTTACTTGGCTTTTCCCTCTCTTTATTGTAGTTCTTTGCAAGAACCCGCTTCATGGGTTCTCCGTCATTTTTATGGATGAAAACAACATTTTTGAATTGAGTGTGATGATAATTTGATATTAGACTTCATTTTTTCACTCCTAAATTTTAATGAGGCATGCCTAAGGTTCTTCGGTGTTTTTCTTTCGGCTACAGGAAAGAAAGGAAGATGATGGAGTAACTTTGATGGGAAAGAAGAATGGGATGTGAAGTTTCTTTATTTGACTTCGGAGATTGGCACGAAGGAAGAAGAAAATGTTAAGGCTTATCACTTTTAAGTTGAGGAGTAGATTCACCAGGCTTATTGCTAGAAGGTTTGGTTTTGATCAATACGCCATTCCTTTGGTTTTTCTTGATACTTTCTTTGGTTTGTTTCATTGGTTGCTGATGGTTTATCAAGATTTTTTTTGTCAGTTTTCATTTTCATTTTTTTAGGAACTATAGTTCTTCAATTATATAAGTAACATAGTTGTTTATACTGAATTTCTGTCATTTTTCTCTGAATCTGGTCTTTGCTATTTTATTTATTAGTCAAGCTGTAATGCCTATTTTTGTGGCAACCAAATTAGTGTGTTAAATTGAGGTCAACTTCTTTGTTCTTCCAGTTCTCGTACTCACTTATTTCTTTTATATCAACTCTATGCTATGGTAAATCTTGAACCTTCTCTCTCATTGTGACATTGCAGCTCAAATTTATCAAATGTAAAAGCTGAAGCAAAATAAGTCCTAGAAGCTGGAAGACTATATTGTATTGTCTATGGAGTTCCTTAACCTTTTCAGGCTATTTGAGAAAAATATTATTTATTGTGAGTTGAACTAAAATTAATGCATGTTCTTGCAATGGCCTTTCAAATAATAAATTTTACTTTGAGAATATCTATGATCATTTCAGAAAAACTAATTTTTTGTTATTTATAGATCAAGTTTAAAATCTTTAAATATTATTGTCGATGGTTTGACAAAAGCTGCCATTTTGTTTTTTTCCCCATTTGTTAGTAGGGTCTTGCTAGGTAGCACATAATCATTTTTCTGAGTGGCTTTAGTAAATGGGAAACTTTATATATCTCCATTTTGGTGATATATTGTTTTAACTTTTGATTGTGGCTTTCCAATTACATGTGAAGTCAATTTTCACTAAAAAAATTCTGGATTGTTACACTTTCAATCTAGAAAAGATGAAACTTTAAAAGGTTATGTCAGGGTGATGAGTGGTTACTATCAGATCAAGTCTCAGGCTTCTTTACTTTCTAGGGTGATTTGTTATGCCCTTGTGAGCTCTCATAAATCATATTCATTTCTTTTTCGTTTTGGGGAAAATCTATTACTTCTTATTATATGTTAGCTTCGAAGTAGCAAGACTACTCAAGTTCTTGGAATTGGTGAGATAAGTTATTAATGAATCTATAAATATATGTGTACAATTTTTCTTAGACAAGTTATATCTGTACTTTCATACTAAAAAAAAAACGGTTATATATGTACCCACTTTCATCTAATGATATCTGCTATAGAAGTGCATGCTTTCACTTTCTTTTGTCAAGACAGATAAACTTAAATGGCATTTTCGTGCAATCTCAGTCTGGTAGCTTTCCCTTGGGTCTAGGGCAACATGCTTTTGGTTTGTCCTGTATGTTTTTGTTATACATTTCATTTCATTTGAATATGTATCACCTTCTTGGAAAAGGAGTTGTTCTCGAGGAATCGATTTTGCATTGGTATGTTTTCAGTTTTTAGCCTTTGCATTTGTTATTGTAAAGCAGCTTGACCATCCCTCCTCCATTTCCAAAGGAGGTTATTAACTTATTATTAATACCTGTAATATTAAGGACAACTTCCATAGGAATACAGGAAAATGATGCTATCTTTGGTATGGGATTTGTTTTGGAACTCATTTACTGTTGCTTCTTAAGTATATTGATTGATTGCTACTTTCTAGGTAAACCGTATTTGCTGGTCAAACATCTAGAGGTCCTACCAACTGTCATGCTGCTACAGGCTATCAGTGAAAAAGTAAAAGCATTTTGTATTCTTCTGCTTTTGCTTTTTTTTTTTTTTTTTTGGCTAATATTCTTTTGCCTTCTATAAAAGCTTTTTTCCTGGTGCCACATTGAGCTTTTTGAGGACTTCTTTTCATTTATTGATGTCGAATCATATATTCATGACACACCTATATACTAATGTATAAGCTTTTCAAATTTCTTACTGCAATGTTTCAGCATAGATAATAATATGTAAGCTTAATTTCCTCTACGCTTGCTGTCACTCAGCAGTACAACTTAATGCCTCTTCTCTGTGATCAGAACTTCATTGGGACTTGGGAGCACGTTAAAACATGACTAAACAGAGCTTTGCATCTGCTTGGTGGGGCATGTAATTTTAGCTCGAAAATAATCTTATATTCTAACCTAAAAGAGAAGCTTTGCCAAACAAACCATCATGGGAAAATAATTTATATTCTGATGATCTGATCCTAAAAGAGAAGCTTTGCCGAACAAACCATCATGGGAAATCACAGTTGTTGTGATACCTTGTGCATCTTGATTTTATCATTACTTATATTGCTTAGATATTCGTTTGGTCTACACAAGGGGGCTTATAATTAAGATTTAAGATAGATGTTTTTTTATGCATTTTAACACTCATTCTAACTCTATGTTTGCCTGGGATTTTTCTTTATTCTATTAGTAAGTATGATTTAATATTTAGATTTATCCCTCCAGCTGGCACTAATGTGACATGTTAAGTTCTAAATATGGAAGTAAAAAGATTGCTTGGTATAAAACAACCTCAAATCTTAGCTTTTGACGCGAACTTGGAAAAAAAAAAAAAGTCTCGACTTTAAAGTCTCACCTATCAAAAAGAAATCTGCTGCAGCTTTCAACTGTAAAAGGCCCCACACCATGCTTACTTTTAATTATGCTGCATTGGATATAGTCAACACTGTTTTTTCTCAAACTTTTCAGACTTTGCTGAAAGAGGTTACAATAGGTAGATATACTATGCCAAAAGGACAAAAAACTATTATCCCAAGTCTATTTCATTACCCATTTTAGCCCTTAGATTTGTGTTCAGTTTATTGTAGCTAAGTATTAGGAGAAAGAGTTTTCTATGATTTAACCCTTAGATTATCTATTTGCCTTGAACTCTTTTTTCATATAATAATGTTTTTTCAACATGATAGAGCTCACGTATGAATTTTTATAAGAACATTTTCAATTATCTACTCTCTATATATCCCTCATTGATATTGATATGTCTCCATGACAGTAGTCCATGGATTAACTTTTTGTAATAAAATATAATGAGAAACCCTTGAAGGGTCTTCATTAAAAAAAAGAAAAACATACGTGATATTCTTGGAAGAAGTATCAAAAAGATTAAAAATGGTCTCACAATTCATATGTACTTGTCAATATTAGTGGGAGGTGCTCAGTCTCCAGTCTCCATGACGCCAAATAAAAAATCCATCTACTTTATATCTATCAGAAATTTCTAATATAGAGAAAAGAGATTTGACAGCACATGAATTTTGTAGCTATCTTTTGAATAGCTGAAAAGGAAAGGACATCTTGGTTGATTTGGCTTGATCAATAGCTATATTGTGCAGGTTCAATTGATCAGCTTCATAGGTTGAAAATGGGGCAGCATTTGCTTCAGTTGATTAAAAGCCACTGAAAGAAGCAAGCTGTTATTCCTTAATATTGTTAAAGCACAGACCATGACAGGTTAGCGCAGTCTCTGCGTGTGTCATATTGTCCAGTTCTGACATTCATTGGGCTTGAAATTTTTTTTGCTACAGCTTTGAAAAATTTGAATACGCAGCTTTGTTATGCTTCTTTTCCTGCCCTTTTTTGTATATTTGCTTAGCTTTAACTACTATACCTTCTTTTTGAGCACCGTCCATGAGACAAGGTTTCTTGAGGTTGACAACATGAGCAATCTGGTTTCATAGGTTGATTAAAAGGGGCAGCATTTGCTTCAGTTGATTAAAGCCACTGAAAGAAGCAAGCTGTTATTCCTTAAATTTGTTAAAACACAGACCATGACAGGTTAGCAAAGTCTGTGTGTGTCATATTGTCCAGTTCTGAAATTTATTGGGCTTGAAATTTGTGTCTACATCTTTGAAAATTTTGAATACGCAACTTTGTTATGCTTCTTTTCCTGCCCCCCCCCCCCCTTTTATATATATATTTGCTTTAACTACTTTACCTTCTTTTTCAGCACCTTCCACGAGAAAAGGTTTCTTTGAAGTTGACAACATGAACGATCTGGTTTCAAAATATCAACAGCATCAAGATGCCGTTGTTGATGGAGTAGAGTATGAAGGCGAAGAACATATTGACATGAATATGACATCAATGGATGGAGCTGTCTCCATCTTAATCATTCTTTCTTGTGAGCTCTAATATCTTCTATTGAATTTGTTTTATCGATTTAGATATACATATAATCTTTTGATTAATATATATTGTTATACGATTCATTTTCTGAAGTTTGTGGTAAGTCGTGTATTTTAAATATGATGTGATCTACGACTCCAATTCAAAATGAGTATTAAGGATGATAAATTTATAGCTGGGGAGTTTGGATTTTAAAATTAAGATAGGCTTCAAGGGTAATTTGGAATGTTTAGAATATAAAAAAAAGAACAGAGATGAGTGATTATATAACTTTATTTTCAAACCTTCTCTGATTTTAAATATGGTTGTTACTTTCAAGGCCTTTAGTATGTATTTTTTTGTTCTCATTTCATTAAATTTAATGGATGAAGTTATTTTCAATTAATTTGTTGAAGTAAACTAATAGTTCTCTACATTATCAATTGAGATTAGTTTGTTTAGAGATTTGATGTCTGGGTCTAAGGATAAAGTTAGCCTCATTATTTTATTTTAATTTTTTTAGATAGGATAATATATATCTTCAGCCTTAATTGAATTTTTTTTGGCAATCTTTATATAACTAAAATGAGAGTTCATGTCCCTTTTGTGACTTTTGACTCCTGTTATTATCCATTTAGTTGGTTGATGTAGGATGCAAACCTTGAATTACTTGGTTAGCTCCAAACTATCAAAAATGTTCTTTAAAGAGGGATTGTAAGTGTAAGTAAACAACTTGACATGGAAAGTATTAGGCTACTATAAACACTTCGGTTGGAAACTATAATGCATTAAAATTTAAATGCTCTATGACACTCTTCTCATAATTTTTTTACCTTTTTATTGAAAATTTTCTCATCAACTATCAACCAGCATTTATATGATTTTTTTTTTTAATTTATCTCACAAAACATGGTGAATTATGTTGACTCTAAATGCTACCATAATTTGTATATTTGGTGCTCTTGCTAATATTAAAATAGATCCCCTTGCTAATGTCTGTTAGTTAAATTGATGATAACCAATATTTTAAGGACTTGAAAAATATTGAGTTCTAATTTTTTAGTAACATTAAAGAATATTAGTAAGAAGTACTTGCCAAGTATGTTCTAACTCAACAGTCAAAGCAAATTAAAACTCTAATCAAATATACATGGTTTTCTTTTTTTTTTTTTTGGGAATAGCCTAAGCATGTTTACTTCGAAGTCTTAATTGCAACCATCAATAACATTATGGGTTTGTGTGTATATGGCTATTGCTATGCTCATGCCTTCTACAAGTTTTTTATCATTTTATTTATATAGATAATTTTGATTTCATTGCCTATTAAATATTCCCTTTATATATAACTTGTATAAAAAAATATTTTTTTTCATAATTTAACAAACTATTAAGTATAATCTTCCCGTGCATCGCATGGGATAATAAAAGTTAGTTGTTTAAAAAACTGATTGGGATATCGGTTGATCCTGCGAGAAAATTGTTAAAGCAATCATTGAACCAATATATTTTATTCATAAATCAGTATTCCAAAACAATCATATATGGACAGTTTAAATGGACAAACTAGTAATTGTCTTTTTTTCCCAACAGAAAAACTTTTTATATTGAAAGGTCCTTTAAATGAGCAAATTATCTCTTAAATTTTAACTCTAATAGTATCATAGATCTTGAATTTGTTTTATTGTGCAAAGCATTTCTATAATTGTTTAGGTCATTGTCTATAATTTTTGAATCCTTTCTCATAATTTTTTTATCCTTTTTTATCATTTTTTAATCAAATAACAACTAAAACTAACTTTTGTAAATAGTAGAATCCAAATCATATGTTTTTTTAAAAATTGAGGGAACAATATGCATAATAAACTAGTTTAAAATCTATGATGTTACTAGATTTAAGGTTTAGGGAGTAATTTGTTCATTTACCCTTGTTCAAATTATACTCCTTTCATTTTAAATTATAAGATATTTTTAAATAAAATCTCACATATCAATAATCCTCATTAAATACACTTAACAACTTCATTTTTTCAAAGTAAAAATATAAACTTTCAAAATATCTTTCATTTAATAACCTTAAATCCACATCTAATTAGTATTAAATAGAGAGAGAGAGAGAGAGAGAGAGAGTAATATTGGAATAAACTTATTTAATGAAACCTTAATTTTTTTAAAGTGTTTTATATTTTGGGATAACAAAACTCTCCCAAAAGTGCCTTATAATTTGGGATAGAGGGAGTACAATTTTTCCTTCATTAATCCTATTTTTAAAACCCACCAGCATACATTGAAAAATAAATAAATTACACAGATATTTCTTGAGGGATTTGTTCACGTGATTAACTGAACAAAACTTAGAAGAATGTTAAATTATTAAATATTCAACATAAATCGATATTCTTATAATTATTATATATTAAATTATTAAATTTTAAAATTTTCAATTATTCACTTAAAAATCATAATCATTTTCAATTATTAAAAGAGAATATTATACCCCAAAAAAATTTAAGATATCATATGCTCCTAGTTAAATAGTTGAGCTATTAATGAGTAAAAATATCCTTAAATACTTTAAAAAAAAAGCATTAAGAAGAATTTGTATTTGTTTTGAAGACACGCCACTACTACAAAAAAAAAAGTATATAAAATGATTATTTTTAATAATATTAAACAGTTATGAACTATTAAATAATCAAGTGTTGAATATTCCAAAATGCATATATTTAAAGGTTTTTAACTGTTGAATATTCTCAAAATATTCAATGGTTTTTTGACAAAACTGTTGAATATTATGTAAATATTAAAAAGTTTTATCCATATAACTATTTAGTATTAAAAAATATTCAACGGTTCTATTTTAAATTGTTAAATATTATTCTACTGTACATTTGGTCACAATATTAAATGGTTTTGAACTGTTTAATACTGTGATCAATTTGTTTTCCCTATTCTTTCTACGTTTTTATTAGCTCTCTTACATTGAACATTTACAAAATGCAATTTCAACACCTAAAATAGAATTTCAACAGCTAACAATAATTATATACATGAAATTTACATTATGAATTCCTACACAAATTATATAAAATTTGATGTTGCTTATAACTTAAAACAATTAATGGCCAAAATATATGTTCAAATCCCAAAAAGTTAGCAAAGTACACCTATGCTTATGTTAACTTTAAATATATACCTATATGATGTATTTTTTTTATCATTACTGGTTGTTATAGCTAAACCATGCTTGAAAAATACTACATGCCAACTCTTCAAGGACTTCTTCCATTTGAGCCTCAATATATACATCACAATAAGTGTCCTCATAGTACTGATCAATACAAAAACAACAATAAATTAAAGTCATGCTAATTAATAAAAATAATATAATGATTATAACTGGATTGATCACAAGTAACATCCAATGCCCCTATGAAAATGATTACAATTAGGAAATATCACAATTTAATTTTGAAAAAAAAAGTATCATAAAGTGACTTATCCTTTACAATAAGACACTATAAATATTATGTTTTTATCGGTGCCGCGTAACTCAATGTACTTAAAAAGCCTTTAAGCTTTTTCTAATCCTTGTTTAGGAGTCATTGTCTAATGGCCATGTGGAGAGACTATGTGGAAACTGATGAGTATCACCCTCTGCGCTACATCGCCTCTCCCAGCAAGCATGGTAGTGTACAGGTTCCTTAAATATCAAAATAAGTAAATTAATGAATGATTGAAACACACATACACACACACACACACAAAAACAAACAAACATTTAATTTAAGGTTTTAGACACATACCTCATATATAAGTTATATAAGGTAGTGGTAGCCTGTGTATGATTGAATAAGTCCATCAATACCTCATTGTTGACTTGATCGATAGACTCTGGATTTGCATACATCTCTGCAGGGAAGGGAAGCAATATTCCTTCTTGTGTCTTTGTAGAAGTCCTGAGCAAGTTTTTGTGTCTGTCGGGAACAGCTACTGCACGCTGAGATGCTAACTGAGAGGCTTTAAGTGGAAGGAGAGCCTCCGATGCCTTCTTGGGAAATGTGATGGACTCGTTGGATTTATTGACGGTGTTCTTATCATTTTCCCTCTTTCACTTAGTCACCGGTGCTTTCAAAGGCTCCAATACTTTCTTGATCTCTAGTACTTTCTTAGCCTCTAATACTTTCTTTTTTATATGCTTATTAACAAGCTAGTTTTTTCACATATAGATAGTTAAAGGTTAACTATAAATACATGTAAGATGAAAGTTAAATTTCAATTATGAGTTTTCTTATTATATTTGTGAAGGAGATTAATTTTGCACTAGTTATTTGTTTATTTTAGTTGTTGTTGTCATCGTTGTCATTCTCATTGTTGTTATTAATTAGGTTGATTTTTTTTATAGCAAAGGTTAGCATAATAGCTTAAAATTGGTGTTTTCCAAGCCTTAAAGTTGTTCTACATAAGGCTAAAACCAAATTTAAAAAAAAAAAAAATCGGTAGCATAATAATATAAAATTAAGCAAGTCCTAAGCTAAATGCCTTCTTTTCACAAATTTAACATTAAATTAACAACAATTTCCAACCAACATTTACATATTGCATTTTCATACATCAATTTCAGAGCCAAATGCTAACTACAACTAAACGGAAACTCTCAATAAAACACATATAAAATGGTTTATTTGATTGAACCATTTAGTAAACTTATACAAAACCAACTGATTTTGTCCAAAAAACGGATTTATATTTGTATACATCAGCAAAGGAAGATATTAAACGGTTATTTAACTATATATAACGGTTACATTATAAAACCGTTTAATATTTATTTTCTAATTTCCCACTTCATCTATTCAACGTTTTATATAATAATTATTTAATATATATCATTATATATTTAATATTTTGTAGTAATGCGTGATGTTTATACAATTTTAACAGACTTCATTATATATATATATATATATATATTGTGCAATCTACTCTCTTTCCCTTATATGAAGCAACAAAGACATGAAAAACTATGAATATAGAAAATAGTATATCAAAATGGGAGTATCCTAGAAAGCATCAAATTCAAATGAGGATTTTTTTCCTGTTTTTGTCAATCAAGTTCAAATCCCGTCACTGCAGATCGATATCACAGCCAAAA